CAAATATAAACCAAAAGAATGAAGGGGTAGTTATACAAAATAAAATTCAAGAATTTAAGCAAAGACTGTAATAAGATTAAAAAAATCGTTATATAATGATAAGGGGTCAATCCAGCAAGAGGGTAAAGCATTTATAAATACTTATGCACCCAACAATGGAGAACCTAAATACATAAAGCAAGCATTAACAGACCTAAAGAGAGGAATAGACAGCAATTCAAGAATAATAGAAGACTTCAATCTCCCATTTTCAACAATGGATAGATCATCCAGACAAAAAAATCAATAGAGAAACAAGCGTCTGCCTTCGGCTTGGGTCATGATCCCAGTGTCCTGGGATCGAGCCCCGCATTGGGCTCCCTGCTCAGCAGGAAGCCTGCTTCTCCCTCTCCCACTCCCCCTGCTTGTGTTCCTGCTCTATCTCTCTCTGTCAAATAAATAAATAAAATCTTAAAAAAAAAAAGAAACATTGGTCTTAAACAACACACTATACTTAATGTGAGAGATACCTCATGGTCATGGACTGGAAAAAAAAGTACCATTAAGATGTCTATACTACCCAAAGCCATCTACAGATTCAGTGTACTCTCTATCAAAATTCCAATGAGATTTTTCACAGAAATAGAAAAAAATATCCTAAAATTCCTATGGAATCATGAAGACCCTGAATAGCCAAAGTAATCTTAAGAAAGAAGAGCAAAGCTGGAGGCATAAGCATCACACTCCCTGATTTTAAACTATGTTACAAAGCCGTAGTAATCAAAAGAGTATGGTATTAGCATAAAAACAATGACACAGATCAATGGCACAGAACAGAAAATCCAGAAATAAACCCAAGCATATATGGTCAATTAATTTACAACAAAAGATCTAAGAATATACAATGAGGAAAAGATGGTCTCTTCAATAAAAGTGATGGGAAACTGGACAGCCACATGCTCAAGAATGAAATTGGACCCCTATCCTACACCATACACAAAAATCAATTCAAAATGGATTGACTTGAAAGTAAGACCTGCAACCATAAAACCAAAAAAACAAAAAAAGAGAAAGAGCTCCTTAACATCAATCTTGGCAATGATTTTTTTGGATTAGACACCAAAAGCAAAAGCAACAGAAGCAAAAATAAGCAAGTGGAACTATATCAAACTAAAAATAACTTTAGCACAGCCCAGTGAAAAGGCGACCTATTAAATGAGGATAAAATATCTGCAAAACATATACCTGATTAGGGGTTAATATCAAAAAATATATACAGAACTCATACATCTCAAAAGCAATAAAAACAATCTGATTAAAAAATGGGCAAAGAGGGCCCCTGGGTGACTCAGTCCATTAAGCATCCAACTCTTGGTTTCGGCTCAGGTCATAATCTCAGGGTTGTGAGATCGAGCCCTGCATCAGGCTCTGTGCTGGGCATGGAGCCTGCTTAAGATTCTCTCTCCCTCTTCCTCTGCCCCTCCTCCCCCAACACTTGCATTCATGCTCTATCTTAAAAGAAAAAAAATGGGCAGAGGACTGAATAGACATTTTTCCAAAAAGGACATACAAATTGGCCAACAGGTATATAAAAAGATGCTCAACATCACTAATCATCAAGGAACGACAAATCAAAACCACAATGAGATATCACCTCACACCTGTTAGACTGGCTTTCATCAAAAAGACAACAGATAAGTGTTGATGAGAATGTGGAAAAAAAGAAATTCTTGTATACTGTTGATAGGACTATAACCTGGTGCAGCCACTGTGAAAAACAGTATAGCAGTTCCTCAAAAAATTTAAAAAATAACCCCTCACCATATGACCCAGCAATCCCATATCTGGACATATATCCAAAGGAATTGAAAGCAGGATTTCAAAGAGATATGTGCACTCCCACATTCACTGCAATATTATACATAATAGTCAAGATAGGGAAACAACCCAGGTGTCCATCAACAGATAAATGAACAAGTAAGATCTGACAAACCTAGATCCAGATATAATGGAATATTATTCAGCCATGAGGAAAAAAGAAATCCTGCTATTTGTAACAACATGGATAGACCTTAATGCCTTATGTTAAGTGAAATAAGCCAAAGAGAGAGAGAGAGATAAATACTATACGATATCACTTAGATGTGGAATCTAAGGAGACAAAAATGTCAAACTCATAGAAACAGAGTAGAAAAGTGGTTGCCAGGGTTTGGCAGGTGGGACAGATAGGGAGGGGTTGGTAAGAACATAAACTGTCAGATCAGATGAAAGAGGTCTGAGGATCTAATATAAGTCATGATGACTATAACTGATAACACTATATCATATAATTAAAATTTGCTGAGAGTAGAACTTAAAAGTTCTCACCAAAAAAAAAAAAGTGAGGTAATGGATATGTTAATTAATTAGATGGGAGGGGATCCTTTCACAAAGCCTACATATACCAAATTGCCACAACTTTAAATATCTTATGATTTTATTTGTCAATTATACCTCATTAAAACTGAAGTTTTTAAAAATGAAGTCAACTCACAATTTCTGTTCTATTGATAGTATCTAAAGATTAACCAAGGGGCACCTGGGTGGCTCAGTCAGTTAAGCATCCGACTCTTCATTATGGCTCAGGTCATGATCTCACGGTCATGAGATCAAATCTACCTGAGATTCTCTCTCTCCTTTCCCTCTGCCCCTCCCACCATTCGCATGTAAATAAATAAATAAATAAATAAATAAATAAATAAATAAATAAAATCTTTTAAAAAATAAAAACTAAAGATTAACTAAATGTTCCATGCAGGTTTTTGAATCATGTAGTTAATTCCAAGTACTTCTAGAACTGGCTTTCTTGCTACTCTTACCAGTGATGTCTTGTATTCGCTCTATATTAACCTCAAACTATCACCATATAAATGCAATATTGCCTATATTAGGTTTTTGGTATGGGATATTTTTTTCAATGACAGATGGCATTTGGATATAGAAAAGCTTTCCAAAATGTGATTTTGTCAGTTTTCTGTAAAGCTTGACAATCATCTTCAAAGTTTTTCCTGAAGACTTTTTTCTTCCTTCATTTTTCATCTTTTCAAAATCAATGACTATTTTTATTCTGCTTGGTCAGACAAGTAGGCTTTTGATTTACAACAGCTGTATTTTAATAGTGTACACACACATTTTCATTTCTGCCTTTATAATTCTTTTTTAACCATCAAGTAATAAGACACTGTTTTGTCCAAGGGTTTTGGAATCATTTCGGTCTTTTAATCTAATATAATCAAGTGGTTTTGCTATACATCTCATTATCATAAATTTTGTTTAGTTCTGGGTTTAACAATGGGATAGCTAAGCATGGACATATTTTCTTTCCCTTGATATCTGTCTCCATTTCATTCCCAAATTTAGAAGATTATTGCCATGAATACTTCATTCACTGCTAATATACTTGAACTTCATTCCAGTTATTTCACACATCCTTCAAGTTTTTATAATTATAAAAATGTCATGATGAAAATCTACAGATAAGTATGAAAATATATACTTGCATACAACAGTGCTTTGGAATTAATACTGACAAGACTTCAAGAGGGAAAATATAGCTTATAGGACAATAAAACTTAACAGCAACCAAGAGTTGGCTCTCAGGTATATGGCTATTATTTGTCTCGTTTTGTTTTGTTTTTTCTCTTCTCCCAAAGTATTTTTTAAAAAGGCAGTAACAAATATAAAGACAGCTTATAACCATGTTACATTTAAATTCCAATATCTGCTTACATGGATCTGCTTCACATGAGAATGCTAAGCTAGGTAGGTGCTCAATAAAACCCTTAATTTCAAAGATGGCCAACACTTTTTACTTGCCAGTTGGATTGACCCTAAAAATCTAAATATGCCTGTCAGTCCTCATGTCTCCATGTAATGCAATCTCCACCACCTACATGGATGCCCTCTATCAAGTTGGGATCAAACACTGTTGGCTCCTTATTCAAAGGACCACAAGTTCATGTTAATAGATGCAAATACATGAAATAGTCTGTAAGGCCAGATATTTGTTCACTTGGTCTATAATCAGTGAACTTTGAAATGCAAGTAGAAAACTCTACATTTCTTTAGTTTAATAAAAAAAAAACCCATGCTTCATAGGTAATAATTAATTTCATCTATTAAAAGAAACCACACAAAACGATCTCTTTCTAAAACCATTACTCATTTGTTCTATAAGCCCAGAAAAGAGATGTAACTTCCTCTTGCCTCGGTTCATCTACGTTAGCTCCTGACTGGATATGTTGGGGCACGGAGGAGGTCATTTTCTAGTCTTGTTTCCATAATAATTAGAGTTCTTCTCCCTGAACAAGAGCAACAGTCAAGTTTTAAAGGAACACCAGTTCTGAGAGAACCAACTGAAGGACCAAGTGTCACTTCAGCCAGTGATTCTTTCTACAAGCTCCTCTCAGGGATGAGAACCTAATTTATGGTTCCTTTGTATTACCTTTCTCCTAAAATATTAAGAGTTAACAGCTGAGTAAATAACCGGCATTCAGTAAAAACACCTGTTATTATCTCTTTAGTCCATAAAGATCTTAAAAGAAAATATCTTAAGATAAAATTGTCTATTAATAATTGAGGTGCTTCAAACAAAAGTTCTCAGTATTACAAATCTGTAGTGCATGGTTCATTCTGTGTTAAAAACTTCTGATAGTATGAACACATAATAGTACATGCACTTATTATGTTGTGACCATCCCAGATTCTTTGGTTAAAAATAAATAATGTCAAAAACAAACAAACAAAAATAAATAAATATCAGGTGAAAGAATTTCATCTTCTAGATTTTGATTTTAAAACATTATTTCCTAATTTCCAGGAGAATGATAGTATGTTGATAGTAAAAATGAACAAACTCAGAAGTAACCTTGAAACCAATTCGATAGCAAGCTGTTGTTTCTCCCTACTTCTCCCATGCCAGCACAACCAGGTCATGAGTAGTTACTGACTCTCAAAATAAATGTTGAGCTTAGTGTTCTTACCTGGCACCCTCTTTGCCCAGTTGATCATGTGAACCAGCTCCCTGTCAGCAAGGTTGGTCAGCAAGCCCATCATCGAAGCCTCACTGAAGGGTCTGGAAGGATCGTAGTCGGAATAGATTATGGGGGGCTCAGCCTCCAGCAAGGCACTGACCATCTGATCGGCTGTCAGGGACAAGGCTGGGCTGTTCTTCTTAGTATGCTTAATCAAGAGCGGGCTTGGCCAAAGGCTGGAAGCCCTCATATCTCCGGAGGACCCCACTTCATTCCTGCCCTCCCCATCATCTCTCTGGCGCTTGTGTTTCAACATTCTCCCTCCTCTTCGGTCTTTCCGTATCCCTGAGAACACACACAAAAACAAAAAATACCCAGTTTTATTTCTTTTTCTCATGTAAACTTTCCTGCTAAAACCAACTTCAATGCTAATAGCCTTTATTTTATTTACATAAATATTTTGAGGCACAGGTGTGCTAGTAAGTGTTTATCAACCAGCTGCCTAAGAGGAAAAAAGGGCTTTGATGTGTAGCATTCACTGATTTCCATGGAGTAAATACTCCACTGTGGTAAATTTCAAGCTACTTGTCTGATATCAAGTGGTTTACAAAACTCCTGGAGAGTTAACTGTGGACTTTTGTGAGCCAGTACAAGCCGATTCTGACAAACTGCTTGTGTGTGTGTGTGTGCGCACACACGTCACAGATGCTATAAAAGGAACAGAATTATAATAATTACTTATTCTTGAAATATGGCTTAGCATCAAAGACTGTTTCTGCTATGAATATTCTTTTAACAGTAAGTTTAAAAGGCAATGAAAGAAGCACTTCCTAGCATCCTAATTGTCCAAGTAGGCCTCTTAACGGAAGACACTGAAGGGGAATGACTTATCCGAAATGTATCTGACAACCTCTGGATCCCGCAGGTGCTCAGCGAGTCTTTGTGGCTAAGCTGTATCTTATCACCTTACTTAGTACTTGACCTAAGACAGTCAAGTTGTTACTTGGTTCTAAGATTTTCACAAATGTATTTCTGTTTCCCTAATATAAAAGCTTTAAAGCAGTTGAAAATAATTGCCCCCCAAAGGCTTACCCAACTGTGGTTCTCACTAACTAAATTATAGAGAGAAGGGGAATCCAATCTCTTTTGCAGTGATTCTTTGAGGTTTTAGCTCAGCATCGTAACCTGGAAAAGGCCATGCTCCGGTGCTGAAATATATCAGCAGAAACAAATATCTTAAAAAGACAAAAATTAACAGAAGCTTCCATATTTTCAAAAATATTCATCTCAGGGTGCCCGGGTGACTCAGTCAGTTAAGCGTCTGCCTTTGGCTCAGGTCATGATCCCGGGATCCTGGGATCGAGTCCTGCAAGGTAGGGGCTCCCTGCTCAGCGGGGAGTCTGCTTCTCCTTCTCCCTCTGCCTCTCCTCCACTGCTTGTGCACTCTCTCTCTCTCTCAAATAAATAAAATCTTTTAAAAAAATAAAAAATTAAAAAATTAAGATGTATATGAAAAAATAATCATTTTGGTAAAAAGCTAACACTATTATTTTTAATATTAAAGACATGAGAATATACTTTGTAATATATTACCTGTTTTCTCCGTAACAAATGAATAACTAATGTCAGAACTTTGTTCTATTCTGTTCTGATTTGTCAAAGAATTTGGACCAATGTGTGGTTGTGAATTTTTTATGTGTAACTTTTATTCTTATAGGTCTAGATTAAATATATTAGACAATGCTTTCAAAATATAACGAAGTCACAGACCCTTCCTATTTATTCAGTATTAAAATAAGCATTTCTCAGAACTCTTGGAATAAGTAATAATAGTAAAGATTATTATCACTAATACACACTCAGCACTCACCATATACTGTAAGCACTTTATATACACTTACATAAAAGCACTTTACAAGTAATTTAGTCCTCACAATAATCTTTAAAGTAAATACTGGGAAACAGCTCCGTAGGAAGGTCCAAGACCATTCTCTATTAAGTATGATTCCAGATCCTGGCTCTAAAATGAACATGTTTTTCCAGTTAACAGTTTTAAAATTTAATCAATTATCAACAAAGTAGACAAATCTAAAAATATCCAGAAATAAAATAAGTCGGATGAGAACAGATGTATCTGACCTGCCATTGTCCTTAGGCACTTCAACTAGTTCATTGCCAGGCACGCTAATGAGATAAGAGCATCTGAATTAAGAAAGATAATACTTTCTACTCTCAGCTCATTAGTGCAGACCTGGAGTTATCACACCCATTGCTGGATGCTGCCTATATAAGCAAAATAAACTTTTTAAAATTAGAGTAACTAGGAGAGTGGGGAGATGTGAAATCAAGTCACATGGAGATCGACTGAGGAACTAAGAGGGGTTATCATAGAGAAAAGAAGACTTGGAGGAAACGTGAGTGTCACCCTCAACTGGGCTATCCTGTAAAGATGGTGTTATGGTCTGAATGTTTGTGTCCCCAAAAATTCATATGTTGAAATCTAATCCCAAAGTGATGGTACTTGGAGGTGGAGCCCTTGGTAGGTAATTAGGTCATGAGAGTACAGCCCTCATGAATGGGATTAGTGCCTTTCTAAGAGGCCAGAGAGCTAGTAGGAGCTTGCTCTCTCTACCATGAGAGGATACAAGAAGAAAGCTCTCTCAAGCCAGGAAGCAGACCTTATTCAGACAGCAGATCTGCTGGCACCATGATCTTGGACTCCTCAATCTCCAGAACTGTGAAAAATAAACATTTGTTGTTTAAGCCACGCAATCTATTGTATTTCAGTTATAGCAGCCCAAACTAAGCGAGAGATGGGTTCAACTTGCTCTTTATGAGCCCAAATGGTAACACAGAAGAAATATGTGGAAACTATGAGTAGAGTTCAATATAAGGAAGCAGTTTGCAATAGTCAAAGCTGACAATAAAGGTAGAATCTGCTGCCATGGGAAATGATACTTGGATCACTGGAGATTCCCAATAATAAGCTACACGAAGACTTTATGGGGATGTTACTGGAGGGATTCAATTATCCAGTGAGCATTTGCACTAGGTGACCTTCAATATACTTTCTCAAAACTGTATGACTCTAAGGTCTTCCATTTGTGATGTAAGACCACTAGTCTTAGAGTGAAAAATTGGGGGGGCGGGGAGGAATCAAAAGCAAAAACTTCCTTTAGGGTCACATTCCTTAGGAAATTTTGAGGTCAGAATTTTGAAAAGATGAACTGTGATTAAAGTTTACCTACTTTGGGTGGGGACTGGGGTAAAAAAGTACATTGTTCTTCAGTGTTAGTGTATTATTCAAATATTCTTTATTTCCCTACTCTACAACTTTAGAAAAAGATTGGTAATGTGAACAGATCTTATAGGAAATCTGTAGCAGCAATGAAAATCTTTTAATATCCAATCTACATGGAAAGATAAAAGCAAGGGATTTGACTAAAGAAAAAATGGTTAAAAATTATATTGTTTTTCCTAAGATGAAATCAGGAGTTACCTGATCACAACAACACATAAGCATTTTACTTCCTAAAAATAAGGACTATGCTTTCTATTATAAATGTAATTTATTTTTTAAAGATTTCCAAAGTAAAGACAATGGAATAGAAGGTTAACACAACAAAACAAAACACAGTATTACCACCCACTTTAAAAGGCCCTGGCTGTCATAGTACAGACGATATGATTTCCAAAAAAGGATTTTAGACTCAACTTAGGTACTAATAGCAGCAGTTATCAAATTTATCAAAGTATTTGTTCATTTGGTAAAAATGTGTTCACTACTTATAATGTATATTCACAGATGATACAGTGTAAACAAAGATAGATCATGTTACCCTCCATTAAGTTTTCAGGTTGGAGGGAGAAAAACATCGGTCAAGAATCGTTCAGTACTCACTGGATGGATGGATGAATGAATGAATGAATGAACAAACAGACCGCCCAAAATACAATGGAAGGGAGGAGGTGAGTCAAGGAGGAGGAGACAAAGAAAGCTTCTCCAAGAGAAGTTACATTTAAGCCAAATTGCGAAATTTCCTTTCTTGGAGAAATTTCGAAGTAGTCTACTCAGAATGAGTTGAGTCTCACATATATATGATCTAGGTTGTTGAACACAAGACAAAAATGGGCACAGGTTTAGCATGTAGAATAATGAGACACAATTGGAAAGATCAAGGTTTGAGTTGAATATTTATAAAATCATCAGATATTCCAATAGGTAAAGGTGGATTCAATTAGCATTAACAAATATTTTCTCTAATTTACCCCTAAATGTACTATATTTTTCAAATGCCAAGGTCCCCACAAAATGTACAGACAGGGGACGCCTAGGTGGTTCAGTAGGTTGAGTGTCTGCCTTCGGCTCGGGTCATGATCCCAGGGGCCTGGGATCCAACCCAGTGTCCCGGTCTCTGCTCAGTGAGAAGCCTGCCTCTCCCTCTCCCTCTGATCCTCCCTGCCCTCCCCCTTCTCTCTCTCTTTCAAATAAATAAAATCTTTTAAAAATGTACAAACAGAACAAAAATAGAAAATCGTACATTTTATTTGTCCAACTGCATGTAGTAGGATCCTAGGACACAGCTCAATGAGGAAGAAATCCTTTTCCACTTGTAAGTAGTAATTGTCACATTACCAGTGATATATCAGTGTCATTTACCAGTAACAATATTGCACAAATATTTTATAGTAGTTAAAAAAAATCAAACTGGAATTGAGTGGAAGAAAGTAAAAAAAAACTGACCCAATTTCTACTTCTATTTTAACCTAGGTTAAACGAGAATCACACATCAGAACCAATGATTACAGGCTGTGTTGCTATGGAACATACAGCCAGTTCTTAATTATACAGAGTGATGGGGCATAGGAATGGCATGCATAATTGAAATCCAAAAGTAAAATTAAAAACTTTATGCTCCCCACCAAGACATTTTCCAGAATTATTTGTAGAGCAGCAACTTAGATTGATATGTATTGTATTTAAGCTCATTCCCCTTTGTCTAACTTATGTTAACTATTAGTAAAAAAACCAAAAGACCAAAAATGAGTTCACAAAGCAAAGGGGGAAAAAAAGGCAATTAGCTTAGATCATGCAAATATTAAACAGGCAGCCTCTTGACAGGTGAGACACTTATTTGCAGCAAATAGCATTTTAGCTTGTAATACCATATAAACAAGATGTACTGTCATTCAGTACACAAAAATGTCCTTTTCCAGAGTGGCTGAGTAAAATATTCAGCAGCACAATACAAATGTCCTGCAATGGATATACCAGAGTATACACATTATTAGCTCTCAGGTTGTGTCACTGATTAGGCAACACTTGCATCAAAGCAAACTTCTTT